ATAAATTACAGCGTCATCTGCATACATTTGAAAATTCACATTATTACATGTTTTGTAGGTATGGGGCATTGCAGGCTAACAAAAGAAGCCAAACAAACCCCATTCCAAAGGGGTGGACCCCTCTGTTCGTTTCAATTTGCATGTTTACTAAAAAACAACAAGGTTTTTGTGGGCTACTGTATAAAACCTGGAACTCAAAGACATTCCTGACATTTTGAATTGAAAAACCTTCCTGGATGGAAAGCGAAACGTCTTCATACTCGGAAACAAAGTCCAACAGGATTCCTGTTTTTTCTTTGGAATGACTATGACCTGGATGACTGAGAATCGTCACCGGAAAATCCTCTGTATATTGTGCAGCTCTGACAAAAAGACACAACATAATTTCATCTGTCATTGGATCTTTAATTGTATAATGCTGCAATAGATGTAGAAAATAATTTTTGAGACAAGAGTTCATGTTTTTTGCCTAGTAACACTGATATTGATTCCCAGAACAGCTTTTATTACACTCATTTGATCAAATATTTGTTTTAAATTCATACAAGCTATTCTTTAAAAGCTCACAGCTTCCTGTTTCAATGGGCTATAATATGTCGCGACACAGAGGCAGTAGGCTGAACATGAACCTATATTTATGTTGATGCGACACTGAGCTGATTGGTAGGAGGAATTGCATTGACTTTTCTACCTTTCATAAATGCATCCCTGCAGAAGAAGTAACTAAGCAATGAAAAGCCCTATGGGAGACCGTCTGCAGCTAAGTCAACTAACCTCAACACTAAATCAGCGAGTGCTGGATTACATTAGCTTCAAATCAGGCCTAAATGAAAGGATTTCTAAATGAAAGTAACTTATCAAATTAAGCTATTAGTGCAAAGGGGAACAATTCTTCACATTATGAGGATCCAGACAGACACTTATAATGCGTCCCCCTCGTGCTAAACGCTCCAAATGTAATTGTGAGTAATGCTTACAAGGCAGCAGAGCAACAGTTTCTGGCTTGTTGGAGAAACTCCAACATAAAGCCTTCAGCTTAAATCCTACATAGTTTATCATCACATCTGATGGCAGAATTTATTAGCCTAAAGTTAAAAAGGTTTAGCTTTTCCTGCAGCCTGGGTGAAGAAAATAAAGTATGAGTTTATTTCTCTCTAGAGGAAATGAAAAATAAATGATGTTGCTGTGGATGAGAGGAGGCACTGGGTAACAGAGGTTAAGGGATTCATTCATAACAAAGCGTTTCATTGCTGTGGATACAGAGCAGGATTGTTGGGAGGTGTCGTAATACTGACCTCTCCTGTGGAACGGCGAACCAGTACTCGTTTTTCTTGCCCTGCTGGGCGTACTGCTGCATGGAGGCGCTGGCGTTGGAGACAAACGTCTTCTTCATCGGCTTGCCCACCCGTAAACACAGGAACTTGTGAGAGCGGTGCTTCCTCTTCTCACCAGAACCTGGAAACAAACAGGCATGTGCTCAAAGATACGTAAAAACCAAGGGCTAAATACCTGATCCTGATGATTGATTTTTTTTTTCTATAAAAAGGCTTAAATTTCTACCTCTCCCAAACAAAACTTTACATTTCTTGTGGATCAAAATAAGCCTATAAGCTGCTAGTGAATGGTTAATTTGTGTTAAGCCTCTTTATTTGAAAGGCATAAAGCATATTTTAGAGTTTTTAACTTGATGTTGCAAATTTAAAACAAAGTATTTTGAGTCACGATCCTTACATTATGACGACACTACTATTTAAGTGGACACTAATGGAGAGGAGGAATTGTTTTCTTGACAAAACATGTTGAAATTAATAATTTCAACTCACGTGCACCCATAGAAATAGCACAGCAAGTACCTCTGTAATAAAAATTTACGTAGTTCTCTGCAGCTAGGTTTTACAGGTGAAAAAAAAATAAAAAATAAGCAAAATATTGGGATGAGGACACATTTTGGCCATGATTAAAATCGATTGTTCCATCAGAGTTGACAGGCAGACCGCTGAAATGATTGCAGATGTTATGTGCAGTTAGCCAGCTTAGAAAATACTTTCTTTAACCGATAATTAGCAGAAGGTGCATCGCTTTTTTTCCTCTGTCTGAGCCAAATGAATGAATAATGTTCAGTAAATTCGTAACAATGTACCTACAATACATGTTTAAACCCTTTTTAGATGTTCTTACTTTACCAAGTTTTAACCACAAATTTCTGTTCATTTTATTTGGTTCATGTTTAATAAACCGACACAAATGGAGGGAATAATCATGAAAAGGAAAAAGAAGAATGCATGGTTTAAATTTTTTCTTTTTACTCTGAAAACCTCAAATGAAACAATAATAAGAGTGTATGGCTGCTGCCTGGAGACCGCCCGTGTCATAGCGCTTATCTAATGAATGTAAAGCCCCATCCCCACATGTTCCCTTTAAAAAAAAAACTCACTTTACAAATCATAACTTGTCATTTCTTGCAGGTGATCAAATGTACAGCTTTAATTCTTCATTACTGTTTTAGCATATAGCTAGTTAAGAAGAAAAATGATGGTGAGAGCGTCTGATGATGCTTTAGGTATTCCTCCTGTGGAGTTAGGGTTAGTACATAGCAGGCTGGTGAGGAAATATATAGCCAGAAGTTTTATTTAGAGATTCAAGAGAATGATACTTAATGATGACTTAAGATGTGGCTTAAGTTCTCCAGAAGAAGAGAAGACAGCTATGAGCCGAACCCGTCTCAAATAAAATACAGTGAGACAAGCTGACTTTTGAAAAGCTTTTTTTTTTTCCTCTCCTCCGTTTGCATCAATCTATTAGATGGCATTGACCAAACAGGTGGCATAGATGGAGTAGACATCTAGTTGGCATAGATGGAGTAGACATCTAGTTTAGAGCAGAGCTAACCAATTAAAAATCAGCTGGGTCCGAATAAAGAATATCATCAACCAGTAAAGGTCTGGAGACATTTTAAATTATTATCAGTTACTTTAAACGGAATTTAACACTGAAATAAAAGCAGGTTTTTATGCATCCATTTTAAACATTGAATTTATAAATAAAAAAAAATACTTAAAAACATATAAAATTTTTCCATTTTAAAATCTAAAGCGTTTTTTTAAAGTAGAGAACAACTATCATTCAGTTTGGTATATAGACAATTTCCCGATTCACATATTTTATTAAACACCTGAAGTAACTGTTTGGTTTTGTTTTTTCTGTCTTAATGTTGGCAGTGGCCTTTATGCTGCCCTGCAAGGCTTTAAACCTGGGATTTCAATGGAGTCAAAGCCATTCTAAAGCACATATCAAGGAGCTCATTTTGAGCCTGGATCCATATTTATTTTTGATTCTGTTCATGGTGGAGAATCCTGCTTCACAGCAGGTTGAACCAAACATCCTCTAAATATGCAGGGTCATTGAGCACGCCATTTCTTCCAGCAGTCCACACTTTCTCAGCTCTCTTTTTCTCATCATCTTCTCCTTCTTTCCCATCGCCCGGCTTGCCACAGGTTTGCCTGCTGTGTCTAAAAGTAGCAGCAGCAGCAACCCAGACTGACAGCAGCTCATTGGCTAATGTGTATCATGCAGCCTGGTTCCAGACATTCTGTAGGGCTTTACCATATTAACAGGAGAAGCGGGGCAAGAGAAATTAGACACTGTCGTCGGACAGTATACGGTAATTTATAAATGTTTTAAATCAGGTTGGGTCCAGATTAGCCAGCAGGTGGGTCCCGATCCGGACTGTGGTCCGCTAATCCGTGAGCTCTGGTTTAGGGTATAATGCTACCTTCACACCGGACGCAGCAGGAGCAGCAAAATCGCGTCTGCTGCTTCCTTTTTGCTGCTTGTACCACGTACATAATCCAAACTGCAGGCACCAGGATAATAAAAGCGAACACGCTTTGTCGGCAGGTTTCAGCATTTTAAGTTAATTAAGGCGTTAATAAACTGTTTCAGAGGAGTGATCATAGTGCTCTGTGTCATCAGCAATGTGTTTGTCTCCCTGTCAGCTCCCAGATCAGCTTCTCTGATTGGTTGACGCGACGCGTCAAGCAGCAAAAGTTAAATTTTTCCATCTCGAGCAGCAGCGCGTTTGCGGCTCGGCGCGTCAGATGCTTAAATGCTCCCGACGCGCTGCTTCAGCTGCTCAGATGCGCTGCGCCTGCTGCTCAAAACGCGCTGCGGGACCTTTTGCTGCGCCTTGACGCCCGTCAACCATTGACTTTGCATGTAAACTCGCTGCTTCTGCTGCGTCCGGTGTGAACGCAGCATCAAAGGGTATGCAAGAGTATGCTTGTAATCTAATAGCAGAGTAATACAGGCTGGAGTAAAACTAAAAGTGCTGCATCATGTCTGAGCTTTGTGCACAGAGTAGTGGGCGGCTCAACAGTCCCAAGACATCAGTAGGTCTCTGTGGCGAGGAGAGAGAAATTCTTTCCAGAATCACAGTTACATCTATAACCGCAGCGGGTTTCAGGTGCATTGAAGGTGTCAGACAGAGATTATATAGCAGCTGCAAATTGGGTTAGCCTTAACTGCAAAAACAGCCTAATGTACTTACCGTTTATTGCACTGTATATCTAATACTTCTCTGAAGTTCTATAGAGCTACATATCCATCCTCTGTTATTTCTCTGGCTTTCCTTTAAGTATGCAGAGAAGTGCTACAGGCGAGAGCGGGGAGGAGAAAATAAACACTGCAGCTTTTAGCTGAATTAATAAGCTCCTGGTTTCCGATTTGTTTTACAGCTTATTAAAAACAAAAAAAAAATGTATGTTTGGGAAATCACTAAGTTTATATTTTTCATTTTGCTATGAAATTAGCTTATAAGTTGTGAGATCTTTTAGCTCACTTCTTGTTGTCGGGTAGGTTTGATTTAAGTAGCATTGCATTTTGGATTGATTGTTCTTTTAATATTATTTGTTTTAAGTAAATGAAAGCTGTAACCATAAAAGGTGGAAGTGAATAAACTAAATCAAATAATTCTCTCCAGTACTTTGGGATTTACCATTTGTATAAATGCCCAGAAAAAGATGGGAAATGTAAATAAAAGCTGGCTGAATGCCGCCTTGGATGCCGTTTTTGATGTAGGATTTATTTTATCAGAGGTTCCCCTCTGGGGGCCGTGTATGTTTGTGCTACTCTGGCGTTTGATGGGCTTTAGCGTATCGGCCAGATGAGCGGCCCAGGCCACCGCGGCTGGAGATCAAAGAAACGGCACAAAACCCCCGCCAGGCCAGCGAAGCTTCGCAAAGATTACGGCAACAGAGAAAGCACGCCTTTTCCCTTCGTATTTATGCTCTGATTACCCGCGCCGAGGCAGAGTGGAAACAGAAAGGTTATCAGAGAGCTGCTGCAACCAGAAAGGGGAGAAATTCCCTTTGATTGTCTTCAGATGAAAATGGATGTCGAGGTGCAGCTAAAGGAGGACGCACTGATGAGCTGAGATGTCCTGTTCCTGCACCTCCAGCTAAAAATGAAATGACATAAAATAATGTTTACCCTCAGCGGAGATCTGCGTGTCAACCTTTTGCGTGGGCTCTGCGCTTTCCTTCTCCTCTGTGCCTTGTTGCATAGTGTCCGTTTTGGAGACGTCGGTCTCCTGGTTGGCTTCCCCCTGCTGACTGGCTGAGACAGAAGTGGTGGGTGAGCTTTGGGACCCTGGGCGGGAGGCGCTGCTGCTGGGACCCTGGCTCTGGCTAGTGTTGCTGGTGGTAGTGGGTGTGCTTGGTTGCTTCTCTACACTGTGCTGCTTGGATCCCATGGGGGACTGGCTATTGTTTACTGTGGCAGTGTCTGGGGGATTGTCCTCTGATTTAGGAACGTCGGGCTCCTCAGGCTGGCTGACTAAGTTGCGAGTGCTGCTTGGTGCCTGAGTGTTGGCGGCCTCCACCTGGGTGATCGTTTGCACAGACTCTGTTGAAGCGCCGGACGATTTGTCCTGGCGGAGGTCCTCGTTGGAAGCCTGCTCCTCTTCCCGAATGGGGGACAGCTCTGTCTCGGTGAAGACGTCCTCAGAGAAGGAGCCGTCTGTGCTGCGTGGGGCTCCGCTGCTGCCTTCATTGGGCCCCGGGTCTTTCAGGCGGGGCTCCGGCTCTTTCTGCTGGGATGGGTGCCTTTCAGCTGGCAGAGGCTCCAGGTCACTTCAAAAAACAAACAAAAAATTGAGACAGTTAGAAGAAGCCTTCAAATCTTCTTCTTTATCAAGGAATCACAGTGAAGACAATCTGAATAAGAACCAGAAAGGAGGCTGCAAACGACTCCGCATGAATAAGACATGTATGATTTGCTGTGACACAATCAGGGCGACGTTCAGTGGATGCACAATGCCTCTGAGGAGTGCAACGCAAAACAGCATGGGCAACAAGCAATGGCATCCTAAATGAATGAATGCATCCCATAATAGTAATGCAGGGACCTTTGGCTTTAAACTAAAGGGACAGAATCTCTATTCCAGCAGCGAAGCACAAAATTAATATGTTTAACCAAATTTATTTAAGTTCATTTAAGATAAGTTTATTTAAGATCAGCCAGATTAAATCTGATCGTAACATTACTTCTAAAATAATGACTAGTATTAGCATTATTGTGATATGTTTTTATTCTGCACACAAATATATACTGTACTTCCTTATTTTGTCACATTAGACCAACAAAGTTTAGAAAAATAGGTTTGGACCAACGGACATTGGTGCCTAATTGTAAAGCGGAAGGAAAATGAACCAACAACACATTCATGTCCACTGCAGGATATGGTAGGGGCAGTATTATGCTGTGGGGAAGCTGGACAAGTAGATGGAAAGCTATTAGAGCTAAATACTGCAAGACTTCTTAGAGGCAAAGTTCATGTAGATGGGGATGCTCTGGGTTCTTGGAGGATTACCTCTATGGAGGACCAATCCTGCCATAATTAAAAATACATACAGAAATAAATGAAGTATAATTGCTTAAAAAAGTAGCAAATAATATACATTTTTGTGCCATTAAATCTGACAAATTAATAAAAATAAAATATTTCTTCAACAATTGATCAATTATTCATCTAAAAATATATATTTTAACTTCCACTTTAATTTTTACTTTTCTTCTTGCATTTACGCCGACTTACTTTTAACCCACTTATTTTCTGTTATACATTTTCTTGAAGTCTTTATTGTGTTTTTGTGTATTTATTGCAAGGTTTTTTTTTTGCTACATATTTCCACGGCTACCTTTTTTATCTTTTTAATATTTATTCACACCAACATTTTTACTTCACCATAAATATTTATTTCTATTTTATTCTAACATCCTTCTATTTCCAAAAAAATTATATATTTCTGCCTCTAACTTTTCTAAGTTTCTTTAGCCAAAGAATTTTCGACTGCCCTTTTTTTTTGGGCCGTCTGACTGCAGCTGATAATGTTAAAAAATAAAAAAGGAGTCACTCTTGAAGACAATTGCATTTTCAAATCTCTTTCAATAATTTAATGAAATAAAAAAATGTTAAATAATATTTATGTGTAAATATGGTAGTTTTGCTCAATGTTTTCCAGGTTCTGTCATGGACAGACAAAATCTATCGTCATGGTTTCATGAGATGCACATTTTAGTGTTTGCTTATAGATTCCCTAAATATTTATCATTTTTTGTTTATAGGATAAATATCAATATTCCATCTTGATTGAAAACAGGAAGTCGGTACACGATGTAGCCTTTTTCACTTGACGTATTTTTACTGTAATATCTGTAATACGGGTGCACCTGAAGTGCTGCGGCTTTCTCCGATCGCAAAGACATCACAAAGAAAGGCTTTCCTGGAGTGAAGAAGAGGATTAACTGGAGGAAGGAGCAGTTTAACCGGAGAAAATGTCTGTCGAATGTCCAAAGTAAAACTAACTTCTCCACGGCAGTGTACAAGCGGCGAGCTACCACATCCAAACTTTGCAACACCTCTGGGTCAAGATCTGCTTCAGTGGTTCTTTCTGACAATATTATTCTCTCTGTTAAGCAGTCAAGACGATAATAAGAACATAATCATTAGAAACTGAGTTGTCTTCTGACAAATCAGCATCTTGTCTGAGTTAATTTGCTATGACATGTTAGCCATCGCTGCACCTTTGCCTGGAGGCAAAATCCAAGCACGCACGCTCGTTCTCATTAACCGTTGCCGATGACGCCACCTAAGTCCTTCATTTATTTCTGTATGTATTTTTAATTATTGCAGGATTAGTCCTCCATATACCACTGAAGATAAACCTTTGAGTTATGTCACAACATTAGCCATGATATCAATATTGCACATGGATGAACTAGCGTCAAGGTGGTTCACACTGCACCATTTCCTGTGCAAAGCGCTCACAAAGACAGATCACAGCGACATGTGAAGAATTATATTGCTCTATATTGTCTGCAAAATTTCTCTGAGTTTTTGGAGTAATTGCAGCATTTGAAACGACACAACCAGCCTCCCACAAAGGCAATCCAGCTACAGATCCAGGCTCTGAACTTTTGAAGCAAGAGGAATATCTAAGCATTGAATTTATTATAAAAAATGTAATTTTTTAGCCACTGAAATGTTTTAAACTAGCAAAAATTTATTTTTTTTCTTAACTGAAACATTTGTTAATTGTGGTATGTGAATGTATTAACGCTCTACACGTAATTTGTTGCATTTGAAGAATTAAATGTCACACCCTCAGAAACAGGGAGGATGATTCACAGAGTTCCCGTCTGCTGCAGCCTGTTGCCCAGCGCTGGGCTCAGTCCAACACACAATGAAAGGAAAAGAGAAACAGATGCTGAGGAATCAGCTGGATATATCACAGAGACCCACAATTAGCTTCACGCGACAAGCTAAACGCAGCTCCGCCCCAAAGGAAGCGGACAACTAGTGACTTAGACAGTGGGAAATGTGTCGCCTGCAAAGTACGTCTGTCTTCCGACGCTCTAAAACAATCTATAGCATTAGTGACAAAGACAAAACGACCTGTGGAAGGAAACGGTTCAAGTTGATCAGACTTGGTATCTCCTGCTTTCTCCCACATAATAAGATAAGCAATCACAATGTAGGAGGGCAGAAGTAGACTTCATTAACCTTGGTGTAACCGCTGCTTGTTTTTGAAGGTATGTGTGCAGAAAGAATTAAACGGCGCTGATGGTGATGGCCCTCGATCAACTGAACACTTTAGAGACTGACATAAATTAGGAGGCAGCTGCATTTCAGGTTATATTTAGTCACACGGAGGATGAAGATGTCACTCTTGTGGGGGAAAAACGTTCATCTACAGACAGGGCGTTTAGTCCTGATACAGGTAGCTTCGGCCTACAGCAGAACCAAACATCTAAACGTTGTAAATGTCCTTTAGTTCTTACTCGGGGACCGCCTCTCTGATCCTTGGGTCGGTGATCTCCTTGCAGACGGCCGCTGACTGCACCTCCTCCAGGGGACACATGATGCCGTATTCCTCGCATCCATGGGCCTGAACCAGCGGATCCATGCGGTGAGGGTCGAACATGATGTTATTAGGAGTCACCAACAACACCCCGCTGACTGCACCCTGACAGAGAGATAAAGAGGTGATTGAAGCACCACATATTGCCACTGACATTGAAAAAAACAGTACATAAGCATAAAGATGAAAAATAGGAAAGAAGTGAAACAGAAATAAGGTAAGATCGAGTTGAGCTCACTAATGCTCTGAATGAAAGAGGAGTTATTGACTGGCAGAGCTTTCAGTGCTGAGATCTGATACTTTGAAGTGAATCAGATGATGTTTTGTGTCCGGATCCATGTAAGCACGAATGAATGAGAAGGAGCAGAACGGCACTTGGACCGAGGCGGTCCGACTTTTGTTTTTAGCTCATGATGTTTGTTCTCAGACTGTGCGGCACAACGCTCTGATGCGATCTACCTGCTCACACTGTACATTTAAAAACCACATCGGACTCAGCTCTGCAGTGAGATGGCGCTACTCTGACTCCCAGAAGCCAAACAAGCAGAAGAGGAATATGAAGCTCACTAGAGTGAAACGCGCTGCCTTGGAACTTTGTGCAATTTTGTGCTGGAAGCCCTAAAAAGAAAAGGCAGGGCTTGCAGGTGGTGCAGTGGTTAGCGTGCACGACCCATGTACGGAGGACTTAGTCCTTGATGCGGCCGACCTGGATTCAAATCTGACCTGTTGTCCTTTTCTGCATGTCCTTCTCACTCTCTCATACCCCTTTCCTGCCAGCCTACTGTCCAGAAAAAAAAAGAGACACTAGTGCTGCAAAAAAAAAAAAAAAAAACTAAAAAAAACGGAAAGGCAACAACGTATTTGGACAAAGACATGGCTGAGCAAGCGTGGCTACTGCGGTCTGTCAATTTTACGGAAAGCCCCAGCCATACTTCTGTGTTTTCATCTGAGAAGAAGAAGAATCCTTGGTTGGGCACTGGGCGATTTGCCCATGACCACCTTACGACGGCCGACTGAATTTCTGAATTAGATTTTCTTCCAACCTTACGATTTCTGATCGGGAGGTGGACATGAGAGGCTGATCGCCCCTCCTTACCCCCTGTACACTACACAACGACGACAACTACGGAAAATCTGCCTGAAAAGGGCAAACAATTGAACAGTGTATGACCGGCTTAAAGCCCTGAGCAGTTGGCTCAGTCACGACTTATTTAGCAACTGCATTAATGGCAACCATCTAGCTGTGTGGTCGTTCAGTGGTGCTGCCTGTAGATGGCGCTACGTCTTTTTTATTGCAGCTCATTGCGTCTGTTGCTGAGGTTCTATTTAGGCTGTAAAAGGAGGATTAAAAAACTATCAGGATGAATGCTTGGAGGTTACGGCCTTATTTTAACCTAATAAACGGGATTTTAGTTTTTTTGATAATTTAAACATAATTTCCCTCATTAAAGAGAGAATTCCAAGCAATGATTGTATTAAAATTATTTCAAAGTTTCATAATAAAGGCTTTTTGAACTATATTGAAATGAATTAGAGTTAGACCTTCTGGTTCATGTTTAGCTGACTCAGTAGATCCTATTCAGCTCCACAGAGGATGTTATTAGAGCCAATTATGGTGATCAGTTAGTATCAAACCCAGAATATGATCCTTTTTCTGATTGAAAGCCCACAAAGCTCCATTATGGATGAAAGAATGTCTTTTCTGTTCTAAAATATTCTCAGACATCGTATTTGATTTTAACCAGAGTGAAAACGTAGCACTGATTATTACCAGTCAGCTGTTTCGTAATAAAGCTTTAAAATAAGCTCAAACTGCTTGAATATCTACAGCTTACTTCGACTCTAACGTTAACACCAACAGAACCGCTTTTTAAACACTTCCTTTTCATCGACCACATTTTAGGAGTAAGTGTTACAGCGGCTTTTTTGTTTATGCAATTCATGCTCTCGGCTTCAGTTGTCTCACCATGCCATCAGTGATGTACTTGCAGTTGATCTTGAGGAACTTCTCCGTCAGGGCCTCCTCCTCCTCGGAGGTGGATGAGACCACTCTGGACTGACGCAGAGCTGAGAACACCGGGGGCTGAACCACTTCTGGTCTGGGTGGGACATCGGATTCCTGTGAGGAGGAGAAAAAGTGGCGTAAATTGGAAAGGAAGAAAATAAACAGTCTTTTTTTTTCTTTGCAATCGGCTGCACAAATAAAGAAGCCAAAACCTTTTCATGCCAAGAGGAAAAAAAACAACTAAACCTTTAAATAGTCTTCAACAAACCGTTCACTCATAATGAGCTCTGGAAAAAATAAAAGGCATGCCTTGGTTCATTTGATAATTCACAGTGTGACTAATATGCTTCTCATTTGATCAAACTAACGCGTTTGAGTCTCTAAATGTATTAGATCTCTTCTGCACAGACGGACAATCTGGTTAAAGAAAGCCAGAGAAGATACAAAAACAATAAGCATCCAGCAAGGCTGAAGCTCTCAGCCGTAATGAGCTAAAAAAAACAACAACAACATTCAGACAGAAGAACATCAACATGCCCTTGAGTCAAGGTCGGACCACTGGGCTTCATTTGGAGTCATTACATGTGTTTAAATCCGGCTGCCTGCAATAAAATCAACAGATTTACTATTTATTGACTGAAATAAAACAAGTTTGAATGAAATACCAATTCCTTAAATAACAGCTGAAAAGATGCAATCTGGATTATGACCGCCCTCCCCCACTGTGAAGGAAAACCCCCCTGGGCTCAAGAAAAACTAAATCATAACCATCCTCGCCTGTGGATTTCTTAGTTTTCTCAGCCAGCCCTGATCCTTTCCAACGTCCTTGTTCTTGTTTTGCATTTGTTGCGCTCGTGTTGTTCTGACTTTGCATTGGAAATGTGGACGTTTTGCATTTGTTTGCATCCTTTGCTTCGTTCATGCAAAGACATGTTCCAGGGGAAACGCTTTCCCCCATTACTACTACATTGAGGTCAAATAGAACTCAATTGTGCATTTATAGATTTTTCATATAGCTAAATCGGTAGTTTTTGTGTTTGGGGCGGGGCTAAACTAAAGGCATTGACCTCGGTCCATGCCTGGCCACCCCATGAACATTCTTTGCCTTACCACTAACTTTAGGGTCCTTCACCGATTTAGCTCTACAGCAAACGTGAGCTCCTGTTTTAATCTTGAAATATAGGTTGTTGCTGAGCTTAATTTGAAACTAAATTTAATGGATTATTTGTCATTTTTAAAGCTAAAAGATCAAATGAATACCCTAACTTGTGGTTGAGCAGCACTTTGAACTGAACAGGAGCCCTGCTTTAGTTTACCGCAGGTAAATGATTAAGTACAGAAAAGACGTAAGGACCCTGTAGGAGCCTTCAGTTTAGCTCCGCCCCCTTGATGCGAAACGAGGACAGCTTGTAGCGACATCGTAATGGAATAATCTCTGCAGTGAAACTGAAATAATCTGTAAAAATTATGGTATAATAACATTTATAATAAAGTTTTTAATTTTCAGTGTGTGGATTTTCAATGATTGACTTAATTGAACGTTCAATGTTTGAAATTTCAATGTTCAGTGTTTTGTGTTTTGATTTTTCAATGCCAAATATCGCATGGGCTGAAAATGCAAGCCGTCACTGATTTAACTTTGTTTCATGTATGTGTGGCAAAAAAAAAAAAAAAAAAAGCAAAGAGAAACATTTGTCCTCAGAGGAAACAGAAAACAAAAGTGCTTGAAAACGGTGGGAGAGGCATCATGGTTTGGGGATATATTTCTTCAGAAAGGTCAGGGAAGCATTAGGCGTTGGTTTAAAAAGGATGGAGCTAAAAAAGAGGCAAAAACAAAACAGGCTAAATAAGGAGGGGATGGGAATTTGCCACACGAGAGATAAAAGGTTTGGATTTACAACACAGAGGGAGGAGATATGAACACAGAGAGAACAGATATAGTTTCTGCTACAGGAAGAAGAGAATCCACAGCTGAGAAAGGGCATGATGTGCAAAAGGGAAGGGCAGAGAGAAAAAGAAAGGCAGCGAGCGGCGCGTAGGAGTTTTCCTCTGAGAATTTTCACCATGAAGCTACAGCTGCGGTGACGAGCTCACAGAAGAGAGTCTGAGCCCATAACAACTGTCTGCCGTCCTTTTGACACCCCCACGCCTCCCTCTCTCCGTCTCCCGGTGCAGCTGACAAACCGCCTGCAGCTACTAACCCACACCGACACGGGCAGCTCAGACGCTGGCTGCCCGGGAAGGCCGAGAGGGGGCGGCCAATCTACATAATGAGCCGATGAGGCAAAAAAGGCAGATTAACGAGAAATCTGGAAGAGCAATGGAATCAGTCAAAGATTAGCAACAATGTTAGAAAACAGCTTCTCTTATTTTACTGACTTTAGGATGTGGACTCCATTTGCGGAGCTGAAATAACTTGTGCACTTCAGCTGAACAAGCTGCACAGCTGCAGTTCCCCACTTTGCTTTTCAGGCGAGTCACTTCTGAGCTGTGACTCATTTAAAGCCAACCTTCCACTTCACAGGCTTCACATAAAGAAAAGAGGAAGAGGCTCTTTCTCACCTGCACACGTGCAGCAAACACCTGCATTAAACCCAGCAGCAAGCAGCGTCCAAACACGTCCTCCCTCACAGGAAAAACAGTGTGGCATTCCCTGTCATTAAGTCTGCCACGTCTGGGAGAGGGGTGTTATGTGTTGGCAACAAAATAACACCCATTCAACATCCCACAGTGTCCACTTGGGTGGATGCTTAAGGCACACTGTCTGCCAATCAGAGGACAGCTGTTCATAACGGATTGATAAACCAGTGGATGGGTCTACCTGATAAAATGAGATATGAAAGATTGAGAAAAAAGTTCCCATTTAGTCTGCAAATCAAATGGCAAATAGGAACTGGAAAAAATCCTACTCAATGGACCTAAAAATCTATGTCAGCACCTCTTTCTGCCCCAAACCCACAAAGGGGAGTGCTGGCCTAGTGGATGGCCATAGAGCTTGGGAATCCTGAAGATGTGAGTTCAAAACCCACTCCCACAGACTGCCACTCTGGCTCTCTTAGCAAGAACCTTAACCCCAGACTGCTCCCCGGGTGCCGCAAATGGCAGCCCACTGCTCCCCAAGGGCAGCACTCAAGTTGAGAGGGGATGAGGGGGGAAGGCATCCCCCTTCTTCAAAAAAATCTTAAAAAGTGTGTAAAATTCCTACTAAATATTAACAGCAAAGGCAATAATATCGTCCTTTCAACATTTAGCAGGCTGTGGGCTTAAATTATGCACTATAAGATGGATAACTTATAGTGCATAATTTATAAAATGCTCAAAAATATTAGTAACATTATTAAAAATTATGATATATTAACGACTGATAACAGCCGATATCAATAGCAATACCAATATATCATGCATCCCTAGTATGTGCACACTTTCAATTTCATCCATCCATAAAAATATGAAAATGACAAACACAAAAAACACAATACTGGGCAAATTATGATTCCCAGACATCCAAACCATTAAGCTGTCAAGATTGCGGATGGATGGATAGGTGGATGGATGGATGGATGATTTCCCTTTAAGCTGAATCAGTGATACCTTTACAAGCAGCATTATCTAGTTTAGAATCGTGTCCGGCAAATTTTTGACAGCCAAAGTCTAAGTATTTAAATTTATATTTCAAAAATGATTAAACTTTATTTTTATTCTATTTTTTGTGCTTTAATTATTGCAGGTTTCTTATATTTTTAACATTAGGTCTGTTTCACCTGTGAGTCTGTCTCTAAGTTGGCTGGCACAGATATTTCTGTATCTTGCTGAACTACAAGACAAAAAAGATATGCTGCATTTTAAAATAGCATTGCATTATTTTTTCCTAAAAAAATGAAGGGAAAACTGGAAAAAAGGCGTAATGCATGTTGCATATCCCAATAAATCAGTTTTATCTTCCAATCTGCAGCTGTTTCTACTTATATCTCTCTTCTGTGCAAAAAAACAGATTTACGAACCTGTCAACTAATATAATGAGGCCAGAGAAAATAATTTTCAAAATATGCAGAACCTCTGCTGTCTGATTCTGTCTGTTCTATAAGAAAACAAAAGATATGTGGAAATGTTTAACTATAACGTACTTTAACAAGTAAAGAAGGACAATGTTTAAACTCTATGTTTTGTCAAACCTTTTTCATTATAATACTAACTTGTGTAAACTTACACTGTGTTTTGGTTTAATGCTAAATAAAAGCTCCGTATGTCTAACAACCTGATTTTTCGGTGGGATCTTAACTTTTACGTGAACATATAGAATTGTTGCCAGTTAAAATTCAATGGATGCTACTATGTGTTGTCTCTCCTAAATTCATGTAGCCACTATTTAGACATGAAGAGTGACCGCCAATCATATTATGTCTCAAAGTGATTACTGGGGGGGACAGTCCCTGCCAGGCCAAGGTTTATGGGGAAATGTCTGATCCAGCTTTTCAGAAAGTTACTCCTGTGGTCAAAATGCTCATATTTGTAACATGTGAGCTAACAAAAAAACAGTCTGTAGTGTGGTTAAACAAATGGCGGTGTGGAGTAGTTTTCTACATCTAAAAGCATCTAACATCCCGCATCCAACAAGTTAAACATGTCTGTGACCTGATTCCTCTTCGTTTTGTTCAGTTTTTCAGATTAACATCTACTGAGGAACTACACCTTGCTGAAGTCTGCTTTGTCTTGCAGAGCAGCAATATTCATGTGTTCTATTGGACATGAATCATGTCTGATTTCAGAGATTTATAACATTAATCCAGGAAATATATCAGCTGTGCTGCTGCCATCAACACATTTGTTTATAGATGTTGGAGATCGGCCTGTTTTTTAGTGTAGTCCTGTTTCTCTGACTGTGACTAACTGGATGTGCTCTCTTCATCCTCTGACATGGAAGCTGGATTGGAGCTCATCTGTCTGGCTGTGTGTTTCCTGGACAGGGCCGCCTTTCCCAGCTGCTTTTTGCAACTCTGCTTCTGTCTCCTTGGAAGCCCTCGGCAGATGGCCGCTCACACTGAGCCTGGTTCTGCTGGAGGTTTCTTCCTGTTAAAAGGGAGTTTTTCCTCTCCACTGTCGCAAAAAGCATGCTT